ATTTGCCCGAGTAAGTGCCACACAGGGTAACCTGCCTGTATGAGGCTGTTGTGTCTCACAGTTACTTTGACTTCATGCTGTTCTCCTACCTCTTCCCCCAGAAAGCAAGCCCTGCCCCCCTCATGCAAAAGGGTTCAGGGGTCCCAAGCAGAGGCCAGCACTTCTGAGCATCTTTGTTCCTCTGGACAGTGTGAACTTGCCTGTACTTCGCTGTGGATCCCCTGCAAAGGGTTTGAAATAGTAAATACATGTAGATTAAGGCTGCAGTGAGCATCAAAAGCTTTCACACTTGATAACTATCAGACACTAATTCAGTGGTGGTGATGCCTGAATAGCTCAGGCAACCCTGAATCCCAGCAGCAGCTTAGCTGGTTTCAGTTCTCCATTCAAGCCTCAAGCTCTCTAGAACTGTCTGAAGTCCCAGAGTCCCATCTCTCATCCTCTGGGGAAACAGTAGAGGCTCTGAAACCTGAAAAAAAGTACTCTTGTTATTACTAGCAACAGTATTATAATAATAATTCAGAGCAATGATATTGCTGAAATCAGAAATGCCCCCGGGGCAAAAGGCAGGGACAGATTTCTTGACAAAAGCAGCAGGAAAACTGTTTTATTTTTGTAAGAACCAATGAAGAAATGAATAACCTAAATCTGCAAAACAATTGTAAATGATCCAGATAAATGTGCCCTCCTGTTTTAACAGTGTATCATTTTGCTGCCAGTAACAGCCCTCTTGCTTTCTTTGTGAGAATTTCAGGCTGCCGTCTTCCACTCTGCCTGCAGCCCAGCCCCTGTTCCTATAGCAGGCACAGTTCAGACATGTTTGTCCCCCAGGTTTGGCTTCCCGCTTCATAGGATGGATAACCAGAGAAAAAGGACCTCATGACTTACTGTGGCCTGGGTCCTATGACTTACTCCTATTTTTATTAGAATTTTTAAAAGCATAAAAAGATGAAAGAACAGCATTTTAGATCCTAGTACTAACAGCCAAAGATACTCCTGGAGGAGAAAAGCCTCCACGAAGCCTCAATAGAAAAGAGCAGGAATTTGAAACATCAGGGGCACCTCCATTTTTGGGTTAGCAGTAAACTCCTTTAAAAATCCAGCCTCTCTACTGTGAAAGAGAAGATCCACTGTTGTATTTGGTGACGTAAACCAATATAAATGAATTATTGTTGGCTGTTGTCCCACAGATACTTTTCCCCTAAGTTGTGTAACTGGCTGTGACTATGACGCCCTCCGCCTGGGGCTGGATCTCACTTTTTCTCCATCAGTACTGCCTACTGTTCTCCCTACTGCATGTGAAAAGGCTTGTTACTAGAAAGCCATGTATTAGCTTAGGGAGGAAAGGGGAGTTCCAAGTGCATCCGGGCTCTTAACCCATGTGACAGACCCAGACATCAAAGCAAGCAGTTGCCTTCTGTTACTGTCTCAAACTGTCCTTCACATGAGACGCCTTAATATGTATTTGAACGCCCTATTATATTTAAATTGCTTTTAGAGTAAATCTCTGGGGAATTTACATTTTCCTTCATCAGCATAAGATAGCAACCACTTAAGAAAGTAAAACTAACAATGGTGAAGGCTGGAGACTCATGTCATCAGTGTCTACGGCCCTCAGGGACTGCAGTATAGGGCACCTTACTTGGTTGGTGGTGCCCTTTTCTGTTCCTGGGCCCAGAAAGACACAGTGGTTGAAGAACACAAAGAGATTTAAGCATCTGATGCTAGTTTAGGTGTCTGCAGCCAGTGCTAAAGGGTTCATTTACATTTTTCAAAGTTGCTGCTAAGCTATAGCTCACCCTGGTAGGCACTGAAAAGCTTTCCTTGCCATCGCTGGTCCCAGGGAATACTCCTGCCTGGGGTTAATTATGCTGACTACAGCAGAATGGGTGAAGCAGGAGATTTTTTATATTAGTGCTCCACACAGGAACTCACACTCTGCGGCATGATTTCAGCTTTACCGCTTGTCAAATTGTTTCTGGATTATTTCTCCAGCCAGGCAAATTCACACTTGTGCCATCACTGCATGGAGCAGCTGACACATGGTAGGATGACTAAAGGAGGACTTTAACCTGTCTTGCCAGAAGAGCTCAATAGTTCTTAGAAAATAATTATCTGGCTGGTCTATGTACGCACAACATTGTGAATGAGGTGTTTTACTCAGTGCCCAGACACTTTGGGTGCCACCAAGGAAATAAATTACTTTTTCTTCTCTTCCCTAGCTAGACTTGCCATGAGACAGCCTCTCACTTTTCTTCTCTTACTAGAGTTTCTGCAGTTTTAGTTTTAGGTATTTCTAAAATATTTTCCACATTTTGGCAAAATTAATTGCTGGGGAAAAAAATAGCAAAAGTCAGTCTGCAAATGTTAGCGAAACACAAACTTGGAACACCTCATTATCTGCATCCAGAATCTAATTCTAAAAGTCATGGCTACCCAAACAGAATAGAAAAATAGTACCAAATGGCATATATGTCATTGCCACAAAGTGACAACAAACAATCAATAAATGCTTGAATCAAATTATTCATCAGTAACCTAAGTACTGTCAATTACTCAGATAAAAAATTCCTAATAATCCACAGAGCTAAAACAAAGCTTTTTTGATATGGGATAAATGACAGATAAGGGACTAGGTTTTTTGTATTTTTATCGTAGCTGTTCATATGCTTGATGCCATATATGTGTCTGTGTGTGTATATCACACAGTAGTTTTGGATATTAAGCTTACAATTCAGGATTAGTTTCTTACCTAAAGAAAAATAATGAGGATATTCCACGGGTTGTTTTGGGTGTTTTTTAAACATACCCAGAGAAGCAATCCCTGTAGGAAATTATTTGGCAAGTCACTTGAATTTTTGGTGATTAGAGGATAAAGATCACTTGTACACAAACTTATATAAAACTTCATGTTCTATGAGTCACTCCATGTGGCTTTAAAGAAAAAAATAGAAAATCCCAAACTTTATTTAAAATGCAAAGTGAGGTCATTGGCTAAGAATTACTGAGAAACCAATGGGAAAAGTCTTGTAGAAAAGTAACCCTTGACTAGGATTCATTTTTGACAAGTGGTTGAAATTAGGGGACAACTGTTGGAACACCCGAAAATTACCTTCAAAAGTCTTCAGTAAACACAACTTTACATCATGGATGTTTTTAACCTCCTGACTCTTATCTGTTTGTGTTCTTTAAAGCAATGTCAGGGTCAGAGATGGAGATTGGTAGATGAGTTGTAGTATTACATCAAACAGAGCCTACATAAACATATACACTACTTTCACTTCATTGATATCCCATGGCCTATACAAAAGCATTGCCTTGTTGATTGATAGTGCCCTAAGTTATCATAACCTGTTCTAACACACGTTCATTACATTTATATAAATAAAATATGAAGGGACTGATTTTTATGGGCCTACCTTTTGTGCAGAAGAACATCTGCTCACAAAGTCTGCTCTAGCAGACTTTCAGCTTTCCTCACTTTGATTGTACAAAAGATGGCAAAGGAAAATAGTCTGGGCCATGATTTAGAGTTGACCTGCAATCAAAAACACCTTAAAAATGTTTTATAAATTTGTGTGTGTGTGTGTGTGTTTACCTTTTGTTTATCTTACTGGGTAAACTGAAAAAATCTGGCTTCCAAAAATCTGCTAGCTGTAAGGAATTGCCTGGGCAGTTCAGATACCACTAGCTTCCCCACAGCAAGGAAAAATACACCAAAGATCTGAAAACATGATGGTGGTTTGGAAGAATGAGATTCTTCTGAAAATAATGGATATTTTGTGATGTAGGCCTGTACATCAGCCAAGGACTCTGCTCTTGCATTAACTCTGTCTAGTTACTTAAAAATGATGGTGATGAGTTAAAAAAACCCTTTTAAAAAATGTTTCACATGTATCATTAAAAGCTATTTCCTCTCAGTTCACATTCTTTTTAAGACAGGAAAACTGCAGTGGTAGTCGCTGTGGAGTACAGTCATTTCAGGGGCAAGTAGCTTATGTTAAGCAGTAAGTAGCAGAATGATCCTCAATTCTGTTCATACAAAGCTATCTAACATAGCAGAGATACATAGATAAGTGAATGAATACATGCATACACATATACAAATGCATATGAGCTCTCTGGTTCTACTTTTCACTTGCATTTTTTTTCATGTTTTTTAATGAAAGGGACTTTGTTTTGCATTGTTTTCTTTTTCTCTTTGAGGGAGGAAAGAAAACATATTTCTGTATATCTTTCACTTCACATTGAATGGTGAGAGAATCATGATTTTCTGAGAGATGCACAAGAAAAAATAGAAATGAAAGGGAGCAAAGAGCATTAGAGATTGAAAAGTCTAATTGCAATGTAAAAATTGTCATGCCCTAGGTTTTCAGTCAAAATTTGCACCTAGTCAGACATGTGAAGTCCACAGAATTCTTTTAAAATTTGTAGTTTTGTTTAAAATGTCTAAAAATTTAGTTTTAAGGGCTGCCATCTTTTGTGTATCCAGATAGAAATCCCTAAAACAACCTGACTTAAAAAAAAATTATTAAATGAAGTAATTAAATGAAAATGTCTCAAGTTGTAAAAGTCTGTAACTAATAGGAATACTTTCATGAATTCAGTTATGAATATAGGAGGTTAAAATGCACTACATTATTAAAAAAAAAAAAAAAGCCAACTTCGGCATCAATACCAGAAAAAGAAGAGTGAATAATAGAATGTTAAACAATGCTCTGCAGTTCTGTTTCAACTTGCTTTCACACAAATGTATTTACAAAAGAGGCAAACTAAATGCAAAAAAACCAACCAAATGAAATTCATGTTACATTAGATGACTTGACACTGTCAATATAATGTCAATCTAATGTCAAGCTCAGTACATACTGCAAATACCAGGATAAAATAATCTGTTCGGCACAGTGTGAAAACTTTTGCGTGTATTGCAGTGACAGCCACTGCATGCAAAGGAAAAAAAGGAATATTTCCCCCACCACCCCCAGGTGATATATGAGGAGATGGAGAGGGTAACAGAACAGACAGAAAAGCAGATATCTCATTTATTTCTGGACTGTTTGACAAAAACTGGTTTCCCCCAAGTGCATGTTTTGAGGACTGATACTCCTTTCATCCCAGCAGCAGTAGCAAAACTGAGCCCAGACATAGGAGATGCCTCCAGCTTCGGCCGCACAGCCCCTTCCGGAGGTTAATGCAAGGACTCCTACGTGCATGTGTGCAGCGGTTACAGGATCCTGATGGCTTTATTATCCTTGGGGCCTCCTCTTTGGTATGTCAGTGTCCTAACCTGCAGCCACATGACGAAAATTAAACAAGGGTTTGTTGCAGTTGTTGCTGTGGAAATATGAAGTCAGTTGCTTCAGTTTCAATGGGATTTCCCTCCTCCCCTTCGCCCCCCCTCCCCCCTTTTTTTTAAACATTTACATTTTTATCAAATGTCAAGAACAGGAGACGGGAGACATTTGTGACAGGCAAAAGGGGAGGGGAGCCCCCCCAGC